AGTCAGTGTCAGTCCATCAATCTCTTTCGAATGTTCATACGTAGGTCAATCAATGAATCAAGCTTAGATTCGCTCCTTCAATCAATAACAATAACACCTGAGAGAGATTGATTCATCAAATTTCTCCCAAACATATATGAAGAGATATATTGTAACTATATATACACACAAGAATATTTAGATTCTCATCTTTATTTTTTTTCGATCTTTATTTTTAATTCTCTCATATTTGCTAAGCTTATCAGACATGCACAACTCCCCTGAGTGTGTGTGTGTGTGTGTGTGTGTGTGTGTGAGGGGTGGGTTGTTGTCCGTGCTTACGTTGTTTGCTGTTATGATTTTTATGATTTTAACAGCAGTTACTGTTGCCCTAGCTGATTGTTGTTGTTGTTGCTGATGCTGTTGTTGTTGTTGTTGTTGTTGTCTTGCACTCGTTGCCTTAATTTTTTGCGCAGGTTTTTATCTTTCTATGCTCGTTTTTTTCTAGCTATTTTGGCTTGAAGTGTGAAAAGAAAAGCGTTGGCTAGCATATTCAATTTGCATATGCGGTCCCCGGAGCTTGTCTGCGCGTATGTGTGAGTGTATGCCAGTGTGCGTATGTGTGTGTGTGTGTGTGTGCTTGGGTGTGGGTGTTGTATAGCAGCCAAATCGTCAGCCATTTAACGCAGCACAGCGAGCAAAGCTGCTAATTGACTGCTGCTGCTACAGAGTGTTGCACAGGTTGCGGGTAGGGACGGGTGGGAGGGTGGTAGGTAGGCGAGCAGCAAGTGGATGGATTGTGGTTGATGGCATGTGGACTGCCCGCTTTGTGGGCCAAAAGTGCAAGTGGCAAGTGGCAAGCGGCAAGCGGCAAGCGCCAAAAACAAGAATCGATGCCAAACAATTATAAACAAAATATTTAATCAAGAGCCAAGCCAAATGCAACCGCAGCAGCAAACAACAAGCAAAACAATATGAAATATAACTGTAAATTGAGCAGAGGCCAGCACGCACGCACACACACACACATATACATATATGCATACACCCTTTTTTCAGCTGCTTCGAATCAAAACGCCAACTTTTTGTGTGGCAACTTTGTGAGAGCTGTGTGCGTGTGTGTGCATGTGTGTGCATGTGTGTGTTTCGTTGCTCGTGCGTATGTGTGTGTGCTTACATAATAATTAAAATTTAGCAGCGCTCAAGTACAGCAGCAGCAACAACAATAACAACAACAGCGACAACAATTGATTCAAATGACGCACTTTGCAGCAGCAACACTTGCAACAACAACAGCAACAACAACAACAGTTGCAACAGTTTCATATTGCACAACACTGAGCCACAAAACAATAAAATACAAATGTGCTTGCAACTCCAGAGCCTCCATTATAGCCCCACAGCCCCCCTCTAACCCAGCTGCCCCCCGCCCCAGCCTTCCCCATCCCCACCACCATTCACACTCTCTATTCCAAATAGAATCGACCTTAACAAGCTTCAGCCTCAGTCGCAACAGTCTTGAAGTTTTCTTTCAACAAATATGCGGGTACTTAGATGCATCCATATGTCTCTGTATGCGCTGCACACATACACACATATGCCGCGTGCAGTGTGTGTGTGTGTGTGTGTGTAGCTAGATAGAAATGTATCTATAGATACAATAGCATATTAATTTCAGAGCATTGCGGAACTATACAATTGCAAAAGATTCATATAGATATATCTCTATATGCATAACTGTACTTTTGTTCTTTGATACTCTTTCACCAAATGAGCAGAGTATATTGGCTTTGGGGAATGCTCATCCGTGCGAACGATTATAGAGTCCACACATTATAAATAATCCCCACCTATAGGATATTCATATATTTAGTATAGACATACATAATCATTAATGCCTAGCTCAATATAATAAGATAAGATAATATAATAATCATAAATCACATAGCATATTATAGACTATTATAATATAAGGATATTATAGGTTTTATTATCATAATTTGTATAAAGACGTCTTTCATTTAAATACTTAAAATTTATGAGTAGACTAAGATAATCTTATCTCAGCTCTACCTGAAGAATATTTTTTACTTGCCTAGGAGAGGTAATCACTTGGAAGTGCTACCGGTTTGGAAGCTCAATTTCTCCTAAACACATATCAATATATCATTATACTACATGTGATAAATATATTAATTTGTATTTTATATAGAATATCTCCTAGTCATCCTATATATTTATAATTATATAATTATGAAGTTTTTACTACATATAGAAATATATACCATTAATATAACAAATACACATATATATATATCTATAAATATTTGCATTTATACATATATTGATATATACAATCGAATTAATTTTCATAAGATACGAATAAAACTTGATATTTGGCAATGGAACTTGATTTTGTTGCGGCTCTTATCAAATATATTCCGATTCATATAGCCAAACTTGAACCAATTTCTACAATAAATAGAATGCAAAAATTCTAGAAATCGGAGAACAGACATTGGATTGCAGTATCTAAGCATGAGTTAGCAATTGCTGCCTGTAAATCAATAAACAAGATGGAAATATTCCACTATTGTCTGATATATTATTAACTCTATATAAATTTCAGATACAGCTTAGCTTAAGGTCACATACTATGCATGCCTTTGGCATCTGAAATTAATATATTTAGTTCCCGAACCAGTTCGAGTTCCAGCTTCAGTTTTCAGTTCACAATTCACTTTATTCACACAAGCCGAACGAACAACAAGTGAAGTGTCGAAAATTCATTAAATTTACAAGGACACAACTTTGGACACTCGCTGTGTGCGTGAGTGTGTATGTGTGTGTGTGAGTCTTTTTTGTGACCTCTGACATTGCATTTAATCTCGTTGACAGCACTTAACACGCCCCCGAGTCGTAAAAGCAGCGACGCCTGGCTAAATAAAAGCTCACTTCAGCTTGTGGGCGGCTGGGCGGTGCGTGCTGCAGTTGGGTGGTTGACGGTTGCTGTTGTTGTTGTTGGTTGTTGTTGCTGTTGGTTGTTGTTGTTGTTGCTGTGTGTAGCGGATTATTTAAGTTTATAATACGCTTAGGGGTAATTTTAATCTGTTGCAAATTGTTTTTTTGCTGCTTGAGCTAGAATCAACGGCAACACCCTGCACCACCCTGCACCACCCAGCACCACCGGCGAACCAGGCGAAAATCAGCATCTATAAAACATCTTTTTGCATCTCAGTGGCCGTTGCTTGCACATAGCACATACAGTTGCTCGCATTTGTGGCATATTTCATGGCAATATGGTAATCCACATGTGTGAGTGGGGCTGAAGTGGGGCTAGAGTTGGTCTAGAGTGGGGCTGGAGTGGCGCTGGAGTGGGGGTGGATGGCACAACTGCGGTTGTGATTTGGATTTCGGCTCTGCGCTGCCTGCGTCGTTTCATTAGGCGAGCGCTTGCTGGCCAAGCGTGAGCATGGGCATGGGCGTGGACGTGGGCGTGAGTGTGGGCGTCGACGTGGCTGGCTGCCCCGTTTGGGGAACAATTGTAATTTCACTTTTTTTTCGAGAGTGGAAAAATGAATTTTCATAATTTTGTTCAGTGTTTTGTTTTTCACAATTTATGCGACGAGTATTTGGAGGCGGGTCAGGGTCATAACGGCGAAAAGTCGCTTAACTTTAATGGAATGAAACAAACAAGGAGCTTGTAAGAGAAACGAAACAATGGAAGTGGAGCATCGCAGAATATACATTTGCCAAGAGCTGTTTCAAATCCGTTTCGGCTTCACTGTTTCGCTGGGCACATTCCACTATCATGGAACAGTGGAATGAGACAATAGCAAACCAAACTCAATACATATACTATGCTTATGCCATACATATAGCTACAGCATTAAGCTTCAATAGATATTGGGCCAGTATCTTTAGTTCCATTGCCACTTGTTTCAAGTGGTAAACTGGAATGTAGCTAAGCTCCACTCATTTTAGGCGGAATAGTGGAACGTCATTTTTCACAAACAGCGATACTGATTAAATCCACTCCGTTAGGGATGTAATGAAATGGAACACCACTCCTTACAATTCCATAATTGAAGGCAATTTTTAATTCGACAGCTGAGGGAATGTTTGGAAATGGGACATCAGTTCATTCCAATTGAGCTGTAGCATACAATCAATATATTGTAGTTATATTTTAATTGATGATCGTCCTTGTTTCATTCCCACTCGTTTCAAGTGGAACAATGGAAATGAAACACGCACCACAAAGTATTGAGCAGAGCGCACAATTAAGAATGGAGCAGCTTACATTATAATCTTACAGTTTTCACACACCGGCTGTTTCATTTCCGCATTCCCCAGGCAATCACCTTCGGGAATTCTAGTGAAAACTGCTCGATTTGCTGCTTTTATGATTTTGGTCCATTTGAACAGTTTCCACCATATGTTCCACATAATATCCACAGACCGTTAGCGTATTACTGTAATTTAGACACAGTTGGCAGCCAAGCGGCACGTACGGAAAATCAATTCGCATTTACTGAATTAGTGCTCTATAAATTTGTTGTAATTATCCCTGCCCAATGTAGTTTATGCTAAATATTTTCTCAATTACACAAGGAATATATGTATATATATATTTCTAGATATTTTCTTCCACTTTTTTGCTTTTGATTTTCGTTTATCAAATAGTTTTTCTATGATGAAAATTCTTTGCATAGCGACACGTGGCCCCATGCCAATGAGATCAGCGATCGTCGCTGACATCACACAAATATATAGATGTATATATATACCATATATAGTATATAGTAAAGGGGAGCAAGAAATCATAAGTTATGGGCAAAATATTATAATGAAATAGCAAATGAATAATGCAAAATCTATAAAAGAAATTCAATCTCTTTGAGTTAAGTCAAGGAAATTGAAAATTTTTAAATGGAAAAAACTAAATCGAATTCGATGAATCAATTAAAACTAATGAAATGAATGAAATTAGGAAAATAAGGAAAATAGCAAAAACTCACCTTGTGGCGGGGAGTCGGGTATGCGCGGACGATCTTGTTCACGATCTCTATCTGGCTCTTGTTCGTGTTCATTTTCTTGATCTTGATCTTGGTCTTGATCGATATCGGGCTGCTCAATGTCTTTCGGGGGGCAGCCAGCCTCGTCAGTCTGATCCCTACATTGCGTTTGGCCATCGCAACGCATTTGCAGGGGCAAACAGGTATCGTCGCACTTGAACTCTTCATCGGTGCAAACTAAGTAAGGCAACAAATTGCAAAGCAAAAACGAATGCAATGAAAGAAAAGAACAAAAAAGGCAATAAATAAATAAACATAAACAGATCGATTTGAAAATAGCTGATGAAACAAAGCTCGACACAACATGATCATGAAGCCAATGATGCTGATGATGACAATCTCAGATCTTGATTGATTCCAATTCTTTTGACTGAACCAATGAAACTTGATCTAGACAGATCTTCAGTTCGATTCTCGAATGAAACGATATGCGAATGCATAAATGTTGATTGTTGTTTCAATAATTGTTGATCATTACCCTTGGCGCAATCCTCCTCATCTTCGCCGTGCGGACAGTCTTTTTTCGAATCGCATGTCATTTCGTCGCAAACGCGCGTTTTGGAGCGGTAACAGAAGAATGTCGCATCGCCGCGGCACTCTGGTTCGCCGGAGCCATCTTCTTCGTCTGTTGGTTCAGGCGTTTCAGGGGCGTTAGGATCTATGTTGTGTGTGTAGGTGTGTGTGTGTGTGTGTGTGTGTATACATAGAGGGCACGTCAAAAGAAAAGTTAGCAGTCTTTTAAATCAAAAAATGTTGTATCAAATATAAACCATTGGACAAATACGCATAAGAGTATATGAAAGAACGAGGGACAGAGCGCAAGACGAATACAGTATGTATGAGTGAACGGGACAAAGACATCAAGGGAGAGACAGAGAAAGAGAGAGAGAGAATGATAGAGACAGCGAGTGATAGAGTGTAGGTTATGTGTGGAAATGCTTTCATTCGATGTGAACCTCAGGTTCCATAATTGTTGACTAAGCTCCAACCAAACTCAAGAACATGTCACATTTCTGGCTTGAGCTGAGTCATTTGAACATTCGACTGAACATAGAAATGGGATTTGACCTATTTAATTCAGAGTAGTTAAAGCCGCTTTGCTCTGATCAGAAAAACTAAAGTGTAAACAGTCTGCAAAAGCAGTTTAAACTTATAATACACATTATAATTTCAGCTTTACCTATAAGTCCATTTGTAGAGCAGGACTTGCCATAGCCCCGAGGAGCTTGGACGTATATAAGCTACTTGATCTATTATATTAAATCTATATTTCCAATATTATATTATCTATATGCATATATGACCTTTTAATATTAAGCATCTAACTTTAAAAATTACTAGATTCATGCTAGTGATTTCCGAAGTGAATCTATCGAACAGAGGTAAATCAGTTGCCTAACTACGGTAAATAAAATATTATGCTCCACTCAATATTTACATAAGCTCTATTCATTTTCAGGGATCTCATTCGTATATTTAAAATTTCTACGCTCTCTGTATAGAGTGGATGTATACTCAAATAGACAGCACAAAACCAATATACCAATATATATATATAGACTAAGACAAGATTTTTTAATGCGAACCAATATCTGATCATTATTGATCTGATCGGTGATATATCTTTTAAATATCTATCTAGAGTTATACATATATCCATTTGGAGATTATCGAAAACGAGTACAAGATGAAAGCGTATGAGTAGAGACAATACGTGCGATAATTTTGAATACGTAAAGACACAGCGAGAGAAAGAGAGAGAGAGAGAGAGAGAGAAAGAGATAATACGGAGCGAGAATGTAAGAGTGATAGACATAGTGAGTGGGAACGAATGAAGCACAGTTACAGTTACACTTAATACTAACAAAAAGATTACGTTTTAATTATTCATTAGTCTAGCATGCTTTCAAATGAGATTAGGGCTTGTCAGTGTGTATGTGTGCGTGTGTGTGTGTATGTGTGTGGGTTAGTGTTAGTATATTTAGTACATATTGTGTTCGTATAATTCCCCTGACCTAGCACACAGCGTGCTCAATAACGGAGACAACAAATATAAATATATAGTAAGAGCGAGACACAGAGAGTGTGTGTGTGAGAGAGAGAGAGAGGTAGGAAACGAACCCTTGTTGGGACGGGCATATTGGCACACTCGATTCTCGCCCTCGCCGGTGCAAGTTGGCTCTAAGGTGAGAACGTTTTGACGGCATAGATCGGCCTCCTCATCGGAGCCGTCGTCACAGTCAACGCGCCCATTGCAGATATCGTAACAGGGTATATTCGGGATGGAGCCACTGCGACATTGGAAGAACGCATCCTTGACGCAGTAATCCTGGCGGGTACCGCTGGAATTGCTGCTGGTGGCCTGGGTAGGGCGACCGGCACAGCGGGCGGGATCCTCATCGGAGCCATCGTCGCAATCGGCGCGGCCATTGCAGACATTGTGACAGGATGTGCTCAGCTTGTCACCCGACTCGCACTGGAAGTCCTCCTCACAGTCGGGGACATTCTTATTGTAGAGACCGGGATTGTTGCGGCGATCGCACATCTCCTGGTTCTCATCGGAGCCATCTTCGCAGTCGTTGTAGCCGTTGCAGATGTCTGCGCAGGAAATCTGATATGGCCGGCCGCTGATGCACTGGAATGGCTGATCCAATGACAAGCATTGATCCTCATCCAGATCGGCATCACCATCGACATCCGCATCGCCATCATCATCCAAATCGCCATCCTCATCAACTGCATCCACGTCATTGTCGGCATCGTTGTCCCTATCCGCATAGGACGGGCTCTGCGTACCCTTCGATGCTGCATAGGGATTCGGAAAGCGGCGATTCAGGCACATCTCCTCGCTCTCATCGGAGCCGTCGTCACAGTCGGCACGCTGATTGCATATTTTCGCACAGGGTATGCTCTCGATTTCGCCGGACTCGCAGGTGAATTCCTCAATATCGAATTCCCGCGGATTGCTGCACTGGTTATCTGTGTAAGCGTGTGTGTGTAGGTGTGTGTGTGTGTGTGTGTGAGTGTGTGAGTGTGGGAAGGGGTGAGTGCATTATGCTTTGTTTGTTTTTTGTTATTTTTTGTTTTAAGTTTAGCAACAGTTCGACATACTCTTTGGGTTTATTTACTTATTTACAATGCTAAGTGCGCGATTTGTTAAGCTTTTTAGTCTCGGTTAAAGCTTCAAAGCTCATCATTCTACTAGACCGAAAGCTTTGACAGTGTGCGCGAGCGCTTACGTTGGCCAACACCAAAGCATCGGTTCGAAATGGACTCTAAGGAATTTCGAAATGGCTTGCAGTGCCCAAGGCAAAACTTACCCAGTGTCAAGCGGAAGTAGAAATCGTCGTCCAGGGAGGCGCTCTGGTTGCCAATGCGATTATAGTTCTGCAGCTGTTCGCGCAGCTTACTCTCAAAATCAACCACATTGGTGGGAATCTCCAGGTTGACGATCACATAGCTCTTGTACTTGTCGTTCGTGGGCCTAGGCAAGAGAGGAGGATAGTAATTAGATGATTGAGAGCATGGCGACAGCTGATTTTTGCAATATATGTATTAAGCAATCATTCAGTTAATCAATCAAACGGATTGACAATCCTATAGTACTGCTGCATATCATTAAGAGATGCAGCTAAGCTCTAGTTAAGATTAGTGGAGCGTGGTTAGGGTATATGGATCCCAATCATTAAACGAATCAATCAATCTGATTGACAATCAAATATCTCTCGAACTACTCGGGTGTAAGCCACAGAAAGTGAAAGTATTTGAATTGTCTGGAGAAACATTAATCAAACAGAGATGGCAGTTGAATGATTGAGAGTAAGACAAGAGCTTCATTTTAAATATACATATAAATCAATCAATCAATCAATCAGATTGACAATCATATAGCTCCTCTGCGCATTATTAGTCCATATATGGTAGAGAATAATATTATAATATTGAATAGTATTGATTGAAGTCAATCATTAATGTGAATGAATCAATCAACTGCACTCGCTCAGCTTATCACTCATATCGTTCGTGGGCCCTATAAACGATAGATGGCACAATTGGATTTATAAGAAATGCATAATGGCTCTAAAGCTGGCAATTGATATATATAGAACAGTCAATCAATCAGATTGATCAATATTTTAATTAAATGTAGACTCAAGCTCTGCTGATTAAAATTCAACAAAACGACTGAACAAAATAATAACTAGATTGGTATGACTTCAATGAAATTAAATCAAGCCAAGTTGTGATAACGTAGATCAATCAATTAATCAAATTAATTGCCATTGGTAGGTCAATCAGCATTTAAATGTTTTGGCGAGTCAAAATATTTTCTTTTTCTTGCAATAAATGTAACTAAATATGGATGATTATCGCTATTAAAGAACTCAAATATTCAGCGAGCTTAAGGCTTGATGTAATTCAACTTCTTGATGTACTGCAAGTCGAATTTCACATTCTTTTTTATTTTTCTTTTTCTTATAGACCGCCTAGAGGCACAGAGCAGCGCATGGCCTACTTCAGTTTGTGGCACTAATGTTGCATGTAATGGACTTACCCGACTTGCAGCAAAGTGCTGCGCAAGTCCACTTCATCGTCGTCGTTCTCGTAGCTGCGCCGGAAGAGATCGCGCAGTCCCAGGCTGATCTCCTCGGTTAGATTGAGGAACTGCTCGCTCTGTTTATCACTGAAGTCGTTCGAGTACGGCTCGTTGACGGTGAATCGTGTGCGGTCTGCGTTTCATGATAACAGATTGCAAACAAAATGAGGAAGAAGAGATAATTCAAATTACAAATTACTATTCCAATTGGATTTGACTGACTCAGTTGGACACTCACATATAACGGTCTCCACGCCATAGGTTCCGGAGCCAATTTCGCTCTCATAATCGTCGGATGCCCGCTTCCGGGTCATCATACGATTCTGTCGCTTGGCCTTTTGCACAGCCGGATTCTTGGCGCGCTTCTGCCTGTGATGGACATCGCTGTTGCCAAAGAGCCGGGTGAGCTCGCGACGCACACGCTTGACGCCCTGATGGAACCAGTTGCCCTCCACGGGGGAGTCATCGATCAGAGGCGCATACGACTGCAGGTTGTCAGACCCCGTGAATGGCGTCTGATCCTCCACATCGAAAAACATTTTGTCATTGTCCTCGAGGTTTGAGATTTGCTGCAAAACGAAAATTTCAAATTAATTAACATACTAATTTATATTATAAATAATTATTTATAAAAATAAATAAAAACAAGTAAGAACGTTGCAGTCGGGCGTTACCGACTGCGGAATACTCATTCACATCCCATCAGCAATTTAGAAGCTAAGTATTGTAGAAAATTCATTTTTCGCGATTTGCCACGCCCCTACTGTCGTGGACACCTCATTTTTAGTTCTTAGAACGAGCTAACGGTACCCTAACTGTGAAACTTGAATGACTACGCTCAAATAATGTAAGAATTAATGGGTATTTTTCGATATGCCACGCCACTAAAGAGGCGTAAAAGTTATTTTTGGGTCATCGATAGAGGAGGTTACTAGTAACTCAACTATCCAAACTTGAAGCATCTATTCTACTTTAGCAGACATAAACTTGGCGTTTGCCACGCCCCCTGTGGGCGGACATATATCTGTCGAAGCTTTTGGGAAGTTTTGGGTGGTCAGCCCGAGTATATATACTACATTTGAGGTCTCTAGCGTAATTAGTGTCCAAAATATAGCAGAATTTAAAAAATCACTATATCTTCAGGTCCGATTTGCCACGCCCTAATGGGCAAAGACATATAATTTTTTTGTTAATCTTTATAGAATCATTCAGCGTTCTAGCTTTAAAACTCTTGGAGATAGAGTTTTATCCGATTTGCCACGCCCCCAATGGGCGTAGATATATGCCACAGCTCGTGATCTTGGGGGGTCGATGCGGATCTACATTCAAAATTTCAGCCTTCTAGCTCGTCAGCTTATATGAATTTTCCGAATTGCCACGCCCCCAGTGGGCGGATCGGGAAATTTTTAACACTTTATAAATCGGAGATTTCCACGAGTATGTGTTTCAATAGTTTCAATAAAATTAAAACTTTTTTTACTAAAAAACAAAAGCTTTCAAGCTCTAACTGGGTTGTGTTCCATGCTAAGTGCACAGCTTTACAGTTGTGCAAGCGCTGTCTGCTGTTAGGGAGCTTTTCAACATGCTGTTAAGCCTAACAGCAAAAGCTCCCAACTGCGACATGTTTCTGTTAAGCGCATTAACAGTGTGTTGAATTGGCTGTCAAAGTTAGACGTGTGGGTAAAAGCTAAAATTGAGCTATGTTAGTGCATATGCCATACGTTAGGGTTAACACTCTGTAATAACCATATTTTTAGGAGTTTTTATTTATTATGTATATTTTTATGTATAAGGGGAGTTTTTTTTAAGCATTTGAAAAGTTTAGTACGGCTACATATTGCTCAGTTCTACAAAGCTGTTTAAAAGGAAAATTTTTTTCTTGAAAATATTTAAAAGAGTTTTTTCACATATTTTACGTTCTATTAGACCGATCTTTGTCACATTAATATATGTAACCTATGATCTATTTCAAATTTTTGTTATCTTAAGAAAAAATATATCTATATCTGCATATATAAATATTCATAGACAGACAATCCTATTTTTTGACATCTGGACTTTTTCAGTAATCAGAATTCAAATAACTTTCTATAGTTGATTTATTTATTTGATCAAGGGCAAAGTTAGTTTAGATCGCCCTGGCAATTGTTTAATCAATCAAATATTTGCTCAGACAGGTATATAAATAGCATGGAAGTATATATGAGATATAGTTAGATAACTGTTAAGGCGGCCATGGCATGAATGAATTCCGTTTGCTTAAGCTTTATTATATCATAAATATTAAAAGAAAACACCAAAACAAAAACAAAATGTGCAAAAGATTGTGGCTGGCTTTCTTTGGTTACCTACATATTTTATTTTTCTTAATTTTTTTTTATTACTTTTATAACTGATAATGAGCATGTGTATGTGCCTATTTTGATTTCTAATTCTTGAGGAACTAAATTCAATGACTTGAACTTCTATAAAAAAAAAGTTTACGCAATTTGAAGTACTTGTCTCATCGCTTTTCTCAATTACCCCGAACGGGTGTGACCAACTGAGTTATGCTCTGCCAGCTCAGTGCGTTTGCTGTGTAAATATTGATGTTATCAGTATTTGCTTATCAAACTCTATATTAACTTTTACATTTGATGTCTGACTCTCAAACTGTGCCCGACAGGCCTTGTCAAACTTTTTCAGTTCATTGCAGTTCTCCGTTTTGCCAGATTTTTCGACGTTCAATCGATTCCCCGGTGACCCATATAAATACATCATAAATGTTTTTCTTCAATATTTTCCTCTGTTGATCAATTTATGACTGCAACAAGTTGCAGCAGACAGACAGCTAGACAGACACATGGGGGGATCTGTTTCTATTTGGTTATTTTTGGTCTGGCAATTGATTTCAAGTGTCAATTTTTATTTTATGGCTTTTTACTTGATTTTCATTTTCATTCTTCTCTCTCTGTCTCGCTCTGTCCATCTCACGATCCCTTAACGTAATATTTCATTTGTTGAGCGATACAATTTAACTTACTAGATATGATATAGTTCTAAATGAAGACACGCCTCTATCTTTCTTTCTCAGTTCTTATCTACCAGCCAGAACTTCGGTTCTCAGTCTCCTATGCTAAATATAATCTATTCTCATAGAGATATGTCTAGTGCTTTTACTGTAGTAGTTAGTATACCTTTACTCAACTCGTTAGCTGTGCATTTGAAATTGACTTACGAGGCGAGGCAGCCAGATTTTCTAGATCCCTTACTACAATCAATCCCAAATTTTGATTGCACAAAAACTTGAAATCCTTCTCTGTTTTCTAGTATTAATTATTTCCTCCTCTTTCATCATTGATATAGTATTTCTAGCTCGGTCTATATCTATTTTACTCCTTCTCTGTTGTTCTCTCTCTCACTTCCCGATTATTGTTCTCTTTTCATGTGTCTTTCTAGGTATTACAATCTTTATAAATACATATGTATATATCTTTTTATTAATTTTTTTTGATTCGACTTTCCCTCAATCCTGTGCTACCTATCTCTCTCTCTCTCTTTTATCTCGCTGTTTTATTTTGTCTCTCTCTCTCTCTCTATCTCTCTTTCGCACTCTTTCTCTTTCTCTGTTTTTTCACTGATTTCTCGCGCTCCCACAACCTTCTTCCTTCACTATCTTTATTATTCTCATCTTCTATCTTATTCTTGTTCAGTTCCCGCTTTCTCTCTACGCTTAGCGTTGCCAGATTGCTGACTCAGCCAACTACCAAATTCCTTTCATTCTTTGAGATACCTCCGCACAGCCATTTACACATACACATATGTATGTATATCTCTCTTCACCTATATCTTTGCTTGTGTACTTTAGGCCTTTGTTGCACAGAGACATTTATGAAATGTAGGCCAAATGTGCATAGAGCTCCAGCCCCCCCACCAAGCCCACTCATCACCTTCAACGACTCCACAGCTACCCTTTCAAGTCGACACCGCCGCAGCCGCGGGGCTCATTGATAACCGTCGATAAGGTGACAAACGATAATGCAAGTTAGAAAGTGGCCAACGGCGAGCCATGCTACAGTTGCATATGTCATATCACTAGAAAAATACTAAATAATGTATATACGATATATATATGTATATATATTTATGAGAATGCATTTAGCTCACGCATAGTTCTCGGGGCGGAAATGCAGCACTTGAAATTCAGCTGAAATTTCATCAATCAAAAATCGAAATATCGAAAAATCCCAACAAAACATAACAGCAACAACAACAAACAAACAACTTAAAACAACAACAACAACAAAGTTGAACAAACTTTTGTGTGCGGTAATTTTTCTCAGGCCTTTCGCTTTTGTTGTTCACTCGCTGTTGTTGCTGTTGTTTGGTTGTTGCTGTTGTTGTTGTCATTTTGTTTGGCTGCCTTTTAGCGTTGTCTGCGCTGCGTCTGCGACATTGTCTGGCCACCAACACCGCCTCAGCCGCCCGAGCGTCTCTCCCGCCTATCATAATTGGAGTTGCTACGTGTAGTGCTTACTGCGATATCTGTGTGTTGTGTGTGTGTGTGTGTGTGCGCGCTGCCATATCGATAACATTTTGATTGCGTGGAGTGGGCTGGGCTGGAGTGGGGCGAGCACCGTGGACAGCAGCCGGCTTATTAAACTGCATAGTCACGTGTCGCGTCTCTCGACTTTATGTGTTTACTTGTTTTGTCAACTTTTCGAGCTGTTGTTGCTGTTGTTGTTGCTGTTGCTGTTCTTGTTGTTGTGCGTAAAAGTTGGCCTGAATGGGCCTATCTGGCAGCAGCAAAACAAAAGCAAACTCTTCAACTTGGAATCTTAATGCATGATTTTCAATATCAGCATTTGGTTTTATTTTTATATGCGAACTTAAACAATACTTGAGTTGAGTAAACTAAATTTGATTGATACAAATGCTTGCATATTTATCGATAAATATTCTGCGATCAATTTGAGTGTGGTTGAGTGCATGGAGTTGGCTTATTAAAACATAGAAGAGTTGTTTTAGTCATGTGGCCCTTCTTTATAAAAAGTAATCGATAGATAATTAGAGCTAAGAATGAACTATGTTATCGATAGACCCATAAGCAGTAGTTAGCTTGAGATCAAATGTGATGTACTAGTTAGTAGAGTAACTCGAATTTCCTCAAAACTTTGCCACTACGAGCGTTAAAATAACTAACTAAGTCACTGTGCTATCGATAAATTTAACAAGCGAAAAAAGAGGAATGCCGAAGTACCATAGAAATTGTTAACTATCTAAGACTATGATCCTTCATGATTCCATTATCGATGCGGATTCAATTTATCGATAAATGTGCTCACGCCACAGCAACTAATTGCGGCCTATTTAAATGCTAATCGCCTTTGCTCGGAGCTGAGCATTCGTCCTCCATGGTCAGTTTGTTTGCATTAAAGCTAATAAATAAACCAAATAGTTGGCTATGATTTATGCACGCGAAGTGTGTGTGCAATCTGTGGCCCCAAATTGGCACAGAATGCGCAGCGTTTATTTAGCTGAGAGTGCGGGGAGGATGTGGATGATGTGTGCAGTGCCTGTCCAACTGTGC